CCCCAGTCCCTGGCCAGCTGGGCCGAGGTCTTCTGCTCCAGAGGGGGCTGCTGGGAATCCAAACGGCCAATCAGAGCCCGCCGGGACAGGGAGGGGGGGGGGTAGCTGCCCTACCTTTGTGGTTTCCTCCTGGCTGCTGTCTCTGTCCCCGTCGTCTTTTTTCTTCTTCTTGGTCTTCTTCTCCTTCCGTTCTTTGTGCTTCTTCTTCTTCTTCTTCTCTCCGGAGCCATAGTCGCTGCCCACGCTGTCCGAGTTCTCGCCGTAGTCCCGGTCCCGGTCCGACCCCCGCTCTACATCGCTGTCCTGGGGGGGGGCAGAGGGCAGAGTCACAACCAGAGATCTACCCCCTCATCCCAAACACACAGGACTAGCCCAACCAAACGACACACTCACGATCTTCTTGCGTTTCCTGGCTTTGGCCGGCTTTCCCTCTTTGTCCTTCTTCCTCCCGTCCTTCTTCTTCTTGGGCCGGCCTTTTTTCCGCACGGGGACCTCCGGCTCCTCGTCTGCAGTCACAGAGAGCGTGACGGATAATTGAGGCTAATCCGAACACAATCGCGCGCTGAGCGATCCCCACGGGGGCGCCGGCGACCTTTGACCCCGGCTGAGCCGCGGCACGCGCCAAAACGGGATCTGACAGCTGCTTTGCTCCACAGAAAAGGGGGAATTGGTTTCTTCCCCCCCCCCCCCCCCCCAACCGTGAGAAAAGCAGCAGTTTTATCTCTGTTTTCAGAGAAGAAGACACTAGCCGGAGTGCGACTGGCCTCCTCCATAATCAGGTACCTGCTTCTTTCTAATATAATCTTTATATCGACCTCGCTTTTGTGATCAAACCGCTCTCAGATGTGGACGAACAGGAGCCGGAAAATGCTCCGAATCCGGAGCCTCGATGGGAAAACTTTCTCTTTCGGGGAGGTTAATCGGACGGAAAAGCCCCGGACTGCCTCGCATCAGATAGGAAATGCTCCGAGTATCTCTGCCTCCGGGGAGACAGGGATCCGGGAGGTATTCCCCAAAGAGGGGGGAAGCAATTTAACCGGCAACCTGAGCTGCTGGCCCGGTGCTGCCAGGTGACAGGATCCACCACCCAGGTCCATAAGCCACTATTATCTTTATTATTTTATTTATTTATTTGGGGGGGGTGTTGGACTTTATTGTTTGCCTGCCTTTGTTGGTTCACAACCTCCTCCCCTCTTGCCCTCCCCTCCCGGGTAAAACAACGCTACGCCCCCCCCCCCCCCCCCCCCCCCCCCCCCCCCGCGCGCCCGTGCGGCGTAAGGCCGTTTAAGAGGCGCCTTGGGGCGGCCACAGCACGCACTCGGGGCTCGGTGATTCGGAGGCCGAACTGGGGGTGGGGGGGGTGAGAGGGGTTGGGGGGGGGGAAGGTCCCCGGCACGAGCCCTCACCTCCAGACAGAGAGACGAAAAGACAAAGCAGCTGGCGGCTCCTCGCTCCCTCCGTGATATTCTCTCATTCTCTCATTTTCAAACCGAAGCATCCAGGTTACGCAACCGCGTGCCTTCCACCCCCCCCCCGAAAAGAAAAAAGACATAGCCCCGGGCTCCATTCAGCCTCCACTTTCCGCCCCGCGCGCGCCTCGCCTCGCTCCGCAAACCAAGTTCACGGTGACAGAAACTTCCAGAAAGACTCGCGCTCGCGTGGGGAAAAGAAGCCCCTAAAAGCCTTTATTAAAGCTGCGCGCGGCTTTCTGCGCGTGCAAGCGGCGTGATAAAGGGGCAAGTTCACGGGGCTCCACGCGCCCTGCTCCGTTACCATCACCTCGGGGGTCTGGGGGGGGGGGGAGTCCATGTTTGTGCCGGTCCGGTAACCTTACGGGGTTGACCCCGTTACCCCCCCAGGGGGGGGTCAGTGTGGGTCCGGCTGGGGAGGGGGGACCGGGGGGGGGCTGGTCAGAGGAATTTAACCGATAACCAACTTTCCGGGGACAGCTGTGGCGCGCGCAGTTCGCGGCAAGTTCGCTTTCAACTTTGCTGGGATGTTGCGGAGGAGGCGAAGCGGAAGCGGAGGGATATGTCCGCGTGCGCTCCCAACACTGCGGCAGCGTGATTGGGAACATTATTTCCGTTCGCCCTTAGACCTTAAACTTGAGTTTGCCCCCCTCCTCACCCCTTCACCCCCCCCTCTAACCACCACTTTATCCCGGTGTAGCGGCGAAAAATGGCTCCTGGGACAACGGAGGGGACCCAACAACTGGAGGATTTGCAGGTCCTGGGGGGGGGGCCGCCGCGTGCGTGTCGCCTCGTTCAGAAACTGTTAAAAGAGTGCCTCTGAGTCCGCGTGCGCGTGCGCGCGAGCCACTCGCTGTGGGTCTCCTTATATCTCCACCGTTGTTTGTGGACATTGACAGGCACGGATAAGGGGGTGAGAGTGGTGGTGGTGGTGGGAGGGGGGGGTCTACTTTTCTAACCTGCTCTTTCTCGAGCTCCCCCGTTTTTTTTTTTTTTCTTTCTTCCGCCACAAAGTGTGTTTTT